TAATAAATAAAAAAAAAAAAGTCCTTCCTGTGTTGAAACTGCACTCTGAATAAGATGCAGAAGAGGTGGTTTGAGTAGGAGGTATTGGTCGGGGTCCTAATCGCAAACACTGGGCCCAGTGACACCAGATATTGAGGAGGGCTGGGTGCCGGGTCCTGTGCGTGGCTCCCAGTAGAGCAGGGCAGCCGAGCGGCAGAGGCCATGACCACGCCCAGGCCAGAAGGGGCAGGGCAAGGGCAGTTATGGAACCCAAAGAGTGTGCACAAAGGAGCTGCTGGATGACCTTGACTTCCAGAGACAAACACAGACCACCTGCAGCAACAGGACAGGGAGGGAACTGAGGGCGCAAATACCCCAAGCCCCGCTCCCGACCTGCAGCACCTGCCTCTGCCTCTCCTTGGTCGAACCTACCAATGGAAACAGAGACCGAGGGTAGCCTGTGATGCAGAGATTAGCCAGAAGGAGCAACTGTCTTAAGTTTAAATCTACACAAGCTCTGTTTCTTATTAGCATGATTAAAGCTCTTCTCTTTAGTATCCAACTGCTTAACTAACCTTTTGGTTTAATCACACAGGAATGTAACTCTTAACAGTAAAGCTTTCGGTGACCACCAACCTTTGAAACATGTGTTATAGGAAATCACACCCATTCACTTAAAAAATGTTTGTTATCAGAAGCTAAATTTACACACATAAGTTATGGACGTGCCCACCAATATCAGCCTTATCATCAACCCAGCCCCCACCCCCCGACAATGAACTTACCCTTCTTGTGTTCATGAATTCATTGTACAAATCTTCTCTTAAGCAGACAGCATTTTGGCTAGTTTCCTCTTGTGGCTGTAGAAAAAAAAGATTCATCTCGCCTCTGACACATTTATCTAAATATTATCACCAAGTTACTTTGCTTTTTTACACAGATCATTCTTTCATGCTTGATTTGGAGAAATTCTCTGCACTTTGAAATTTATGTATATCATGGTTATACTTCTTGGACCTTGAAACACACAGAGAAATTCTGAATTATCAAGATTGTATACACTAAATTGACTTTTACTTAAAATCACTCAAGTAAAGGTAACTAACTCCAGACCTTTGCTGGATATTCAGAGCAATTACCTGGAATCAGAGGAGTAACAAGAATACATTTATGTATACATTTATCTGTCTCTTCAAAACTCATCTGCCTTTAGGAAATGTCAGTGAAAGGGTGGAATAGAGTGGACTCTGTTCTCCTTACGCTGAACCCTTGTGACAGACATTAGCCCTGGGGTACCAGAACTCGGGGAAACTGACTTAGTAACGCTGCTTAATATGTGTTCACCCAGGACAATACTGTAGGAACACATTCATGTGTATCTGCCTAGGAGGCTTAGTCACAAGAAAGCAAATCAATTTTATTATCAAATATTGTCTTTACGCTTCTGTTTTTTAAAATGCAAACTCTCTGCAGCTTTCTTCATATACCTCCACACAAGCCAATAAAAAAAGAATTCATTCTCCTCCTATGTGGTGTGGCTAAGAAAGTAGTTAGGGGGCAGTTCTAGAACCTCTTCTCTAAGATCCACTCTGTGCTGGGTGATTCGATTTTTCCAAGGGCTCCTTCTCAGTCTAAACCCTGTACTCCCGAGACCTTTGACGGGACCTGGTGGCGGTGATTTCACCAATGCATCTGCTCAAAGTTAGATGTTATTGAACCTTTATTTCTCCTCCTCCAGCCTCACCTTGGCCTGATCCTGTACAGCCTGCCCCAGTCTTCTCTAGGTAGCAATATTAAACACTAGTATGCATCCTTGCACACCCTTCCCCTTGGTCACAGAATCACACAAATTCACACTCACCCTCACAAGGACCTAGGTTGTGTACCTGTTCCACACAGCTGATGTCCATCCTGGAGTCCCTAATCTACCGTTTCACTCACACATGGAAATCTCACCAAGAGAGCTGACGTAGGTCTAACTCATTCTTTGGGCACATGTATATATTCGATGCTTTAGTCTTAAATTCAGCCTCATCTAATATTACCACTCTCAGACGTTTGTTGGCCTTTGGTTTCTCTTGTCCATCCTTCTGTTTCCAAACTTCATCACTTCAAGTGTGTTTCATTAAACTGAATGTATTTGTTTTCCTTTTTTTTTAAATCCCAACCTCAGTTTCTTTCAATAAGAGAATTTGGCCAAGTCATACTGAATGTAATCATTTACGTACTTTCTTTATTTCACTCCTCACATCTTCTTGTTTGCTCCTTTATCTTTGCCTTCTTTTTGCTTACTCCTTCTTTCCTCCTGCTTTCGCTGTTTTGCGATTCCTTCTTCTCCTGTATTTAATGTGAAATTTTGTCCTTTTCCATTCTGCCAGTATTTACCTTCTCTTTTCCAACACTCATAATCACACTCTTATTTATCTCTTTTTATGTGAAACCAAAATAACAACTATTTCTCCCAGATGAGATGAGCTGTTTCTCCAATGTTTTTTTTCCCTTCTCCATCAAGACCACTACGAGGCTTTTCTTTCTCTGTCTCTGGGTGATAAGTTCTGTAAAATGCCTCTCCATTCTTTATTCTGCCCCACTTCCCAACATCTAAGTTTTAAGTTTCAGGCAAACATTTAGTAAACTGCAGCTTCCCTTTCCACATGTCTCTTCTGTTTTAATAATTTGTATTCAGCACTTAAATTATACATGTCTTGTTACAATATCACTACTCATGTACATATATGGAATAATGTTTGCATAGATTTGCATACATCTACTTACACACATGATACTATTTGCATATATTTATCTCTACTTACATTCATTTTGAAATTTATTGCTTGCCATTCTTTCTTCTATCTTCACCTTTACTGAGGTTTCTTTTGTGTTTTTTTAAGTATTTTTCTCATTTGGGATGTGAGCTTGACAAGTTCTCTGAATCCTCACAGATCCACAAGCCTTTCCTTTCCCTTAGCAGATGAATTATATCAACATTCTCAGCTTACAGCCCTTCCCTCTCAGAGTCTATAGCAGTTAGACCACCATCCTCCTTCAGAACTCCAGTATCATTTTTCTTCCCTTGTAAGTGGTCTATTTTTTTCTCAGTCTGGAAACTAGCAAGATTTTCTCTTTGCCTCTTCCATCGTATCAGAAATTTTCTAGGCCTGTTCTTCACTTTTCCAGCCTTTTCTATTGTCTTTTACATTTTCCAGATTTCTTCTAATTACTTAGGTAAGACCTTGCTAAACTAAAAAATTTTCAATTATAGATTATGTTTTACTTAACCCTACTGTCTTTCAGCATGGGACCACACCTTCTCTAGTGTCTCCTCTTTACTCTTCTTAAATGAGAGCTATATAATCAATTTGTTCATTCAGTCTCCAGTACATATTGAGGGCATCCTGGGTGTTGTGAGCAGTTGTGGATTCTGGGGACACAGCCATACATTTTAAAAAGATAAAGATGCTCGCCCTTATTGAACTTGTTTTCGTGTTCTCATTCGTTCTTCTAGCCACTGAAATTGGTTTCCCCACCCCGACAGTCCCCACCCCATCCAAGGCTGCTCTAGCAAAGATGGGGAATAAGCCGTCATTGCCAAACCTCTGCCTCCCTCAGTAACCTCTGACATCTGACACTTTACTCAATGTCTTCCTGATCGTGATAATGCAACTGTACCTGTTAGGATGACTTCCACTGCCAACAAAGGGAAACTCAACTAATATTGGCATAAACAACAACAACTTAGAAGGTAACATAACTGAAATTTTCAACGAAGGCAGGTTTCAGAGCTGATTTGATAAGGCAGCTCATCAGGAGCCTGGTTTCTTTCCCTGCACTCAGCTTCCCTGATGTCAGCTTCACCCCAGGCGGTAACAGTCCCAAGCATCACACTAGTATGCCAGGCCTCTCAGAAGGAGAAGAGGGTCTTTCAGGAGCTTTTTATTTCCAAAAACTCCAGCAAATTTCCCGTCATGTCTAATTAAGTTTAACTGGGTCTCTGCTCCTTCCTAAACGAACCCTTCTCACCCTAGAAATGCTCCGATTGTCTTAAGCCTGGGTTATCTGAACCCATCATTACGGCAGCGGTCTAGGGTTACTCTGAATAGCTGTACAAACCAGGGCTCTTCCCTAGAGCTGGGTTTGAGTCAGCTTCTTGGGACACACATCAGGAGCATCATGGGAAGACGCGTGGATGCCCAAACAAAAATCTGGGTACTGTTAGGAAGGGGAGAGGGGAGGAATTGCTGCTCAGCTGACCAGATAAATGCCAATCAGTTTGCCCCTAAACCATGAATTAAAGTGTGTGGCTTTCTAGAATTTCATGTACAGCGATTTTGGGCATTTTAATCTACTACTTCATGGCTTTAGCTACCAACTATATGATAGGCACTCTCAAATGTATGTCTGAAATCGCAGCTTCTTTCCTGGAATCTAAATTTTCATTTCCAGCTACGGGAACTATCCTGACTCATTAGTATTTCAAACTTAACCTGTCCAATACCTGTATAAACATCATGAGTAATCCAAAACAGAAATCTCACAATATCCCTTGACAATCATCGCTTTTGCTTGTTAATACCTTCTCCAAAGTTAGACTGTTCCTTGTTCTCTGCCAAATATTTGGATCTTCTTGACCAATGTGCACCTTGCCGCGGTGCATGCTACAGTCACTCAGACACCTGAGAGCTTTGTCAAGGAGAGATTTAATGTTTAAACTTTCCTCCTGACTACATCTTTTTCCTCAAGTTCTATCCGCTTTTATATCCACTCAAGTCAACATGGACATCCAGCTTAGAAGTATGGGAAAGCTGATGTCATGACTCTTTGTTCTTAGGCCTTCCTTAGAGTCTTGACCAGAGCCGAGTAATTGAAAATACCTTACTTTTTCACTTGTTTGTAGCGCTGCCTGTTCTCGCTAGCTGAAATTTTCTTTTCTCCTTGGGCTCCTGCAAAAAGTCTTCTCTGACTCACCCCCACCCTCTGGCAAGTTACTGACTCTATCTTTCCAAACACCTTACACAGACTTAATCCTCTAGTCTAGATATTATTTACTATTGTCTAGACACACTGCATTATAATCATTCAGGTTTTTGTCTGCCTCCACAGCAGACAGCAGTGTCTGTGTTAGGTACATAAAGATGCAATCAGCGTGTAAGGATGGATGGAGGGGGAGAAGGAACGTGCTATGGTAATAAACAGTAATCTTGACTGTGGCCTTAGAATAGTGTCTTCAATTTTTAGTACATAGACTTGACTTTATACGAGCAAAAGGGAATAACTTGAGGATGAAAACGAGGATCTGAATCTAAATTATCTATTAATGACAACATGTACTAGAGCCCCTGACCCAGCAATTCTCTTTTCTCTCCAGATCCAACATCAATAATTTACAAACGTGGATAATCCTAATCAGCCAAAAATTTTAGGCTGGCTTTGGAGCAATAGGGGATACGCAGTTCAGTGGAAATGTTATGACTCAAATGAAGCATGATGCACTGGTCATGTGTCTCTGGTTTCACGTGCCGTGGTGCAGATCTGCACAGGCACGGAATTAGACACAAAAATCACAAGAGGATGGCAGATATCTTTCTGCCCCATTTCACAAACACAACGTTTTCTCATTTCTTGGAGATTGAGCTCTTGTTTCACTTTCTTATTGCCTATCACTCAGCTTGAGAAGACGTCTGCAATTGTATTTCCTTCATAAAGACGTAAGTCCTGGCGGCGGCAGCCGACACTCATCTAAAAGCTCCATCCTAAATTACCTCTGTCAGACTGTGTAGAAAGTAAAAGGCACACTGCCGTCTCGTCTGATTAAATCAAGGAAGGTACCAGCTAGCCAAAGAGGGGAAAGTCCTTTCCATTT